AAGAGTGAGATTAAGACACTGGAGCGTGATTTTCCCAGCCGGTGGGATCGGAGCACACGTGTACATGTACACAGAGCGGACGAAGCCGGTAGTGGTTTCTGTTGTGCCAACACGCAGAGGGAGGCGCACACTCTCAGGTGAAAGTGGGCGTGTCTGGGACCAGCTGACTGACAGCCGGCCGCTGGATGATGTCATGAATGATGATGCAATCAAAGCAGAGCATCACCTTCAGCACCAGAACTCCTCCCATCACCGGCTCACAGCTGTCACAAACTCATGTTCTGGTCCAGAGTGACTAATTCAAGGCTACAGAGCATCACTTCTATTTTTAATTAAAACAGTAACTATGAGGCATTACAGTGCTGCTGCCTTCAGTTTCTCTGCCGTCACACTTCAGCAGCTCTTGGTCCGCTCTCCTCTACCCACCGTGTTTCCGTTTCTGTGTTTTCTGTAAAGCGTCTTTGAGTTTTTAAAAGCACTAAATAAAACTTATGTGTTATTATTATTACTAGAAACTGATTCAACACACTTCACTGGTTCAAATCTGGATATTTTCTAGTGAGAAAGATAAAAATCTACATTCCACTAACAGTGTTATGTTATTATACGTGAGTTCCTGCCTGAAGTACAGCTCCAGGACCAGCTGCAACATGAAGCTACAGATGTTTAGAGGTGATGAGGAACAAGACTTCTGGGGGAAGATGGAGCGTGTGGAGCAACGTTAGCCTCTAAACAGCCTGGCGCCCAACCAAGACTCTCTCCTTAAACCTTCAGAGGCTGACTGATCTGCTTGCAGAGTTGATGAAGTGCAGGATTTGGTGGCTCAGCCCGTCGTTCACACTCTTTATTTTTAACCTTTATTTACAGTCTGAGCAACAGCAGCCCTCTGATGCCAGTGCTCCTGGCTTCCACATGAACGGAAATAAATGAAGCAAATGTGGAAACAATCACAATTCAAACATCTACTATTAATAACAAATAACTGTAGAAATGAATTACATCATTTCAGCTAGATTTCATCATAATTAATGCACAAAACCCACACGGCTACGACTACCTGAGCCCTTCATCAGGTCGACCTACAGACGATCTTCTGCTGTCAGTGATTCCCTGAGAACAGAGGAGCATGTCTGAAAGCAGACTTTCTAAAAAGAACCTAAAAGCTGCCAGTCTGCAGAAAGTGTTTGGTAGAAACCAGATCTCCGGATGACAAACGAGCACAAGTAAACGGATAAAAAAAAGAAATGAAAGAGCCGTCAGCCTTTATGCTATCACAGGAACGAAGGATCTCCTCCTAGAAAAACAGAAAAACTCAGACAGCGTTCTCATCTTCTCTTCACCACCTGGTCCCAACTTCTCCCAACAGACTGCTAATAGCGACGTCACTGATGGGATGTATATATGGGAAGTATATATATCTATATATAGATATTTATATATGTAAATATGGGATTTATATATGGGATGTACATATGGAATGTATATATCTATATATGGGATGTATATATGGGATGTATATATATCTATATATGGGATGTATATATGGGATGTATATATATCTATATATGGGATGTACGTATC